CTTTAAATGATTCCAGACGATGAATATGGGTCTTATCAAGGACCCTTCGAGTCATGACTCGAAAAAAGATTTGTTCATTTTGAACAAAGGAGAGTCATGATCGCGCATCACAGAACAGAGCAAGGTGACATTTGTGCTTATAAAACTTAAACTTTTTTTATTTATTTTTTAAATGAGGAATCGTTTCGCTAGATAAGACCCTTATTCATCGTCTGGCATCGTTTAAAACCCTTTGAAGCTGCAATGAAACTCTCATTTAGAGCTTGAACTGCTTGGTCCCCATTGAAGTCCATTATATGGAGAAAATCCTGGAATGTTTTCATCAAAAACCTTCATTTCTTTTCGACTGAAGAAAGAAAGACATGGACATCTTGGATGACAAGGGGGTGAGTAAATTATCAGCAAAAGTTTTATTTAAAAGTGAACTACTCCTTTAAGATAGTGTGATGAGAGAGAGAGCGAGAGAAAAAAAGAGAGGGAAACACTATGTGTGGGTGGAAAAAGGGGTGCGGAGACAATGTATGCGGTATGGAAACAATTTTATATTGTGGGTATAACAGGGATACACTTGCAGAAAGAGAGCGAGCGAGTGAGCGGAGGCGGGGTGTACGGAGGTTTCCCTTGTCCACTTCCTGTTCTGTCGCTGTTTCATGGTCAACTTCCCGTCACATGATTTTGAGCAACCACAGATTCTCACTGGCGTAAACACAGTACGTCTTCGCCCACACAAACACATGCACAGAGAAACACACGAACTTATGCATGCACAATAAAGTTAAACACTTAACACACAACAACACAAGTTCAAACATACAATTACCAAAAAAGAAAAACACACACAAACATGTTTTTACTCTGACCGACACACACACTCTCGACAGGAAGCGTTGCCTCTCACTCATATCGTATACACTTACATGAACACCCACGCCTTACCTGCCAGTTAAACAACTCTTACGTTCTTTACACTGAAGTCACAAACCACAACAGATGCGAATCTCAAGATAACACACTGAGCCGCAAGCACAATAAGCCCAAAAGGTCTCATAACCTGCCAACATCAGTGCAGACAGCACGCTTTCATCCTCAAGCTTTTGTTAATTGTTTAAAGAAAAAGTTCATTTTTGCTGGATTCCACTTTTTGTTTGCGCCACTGTCTACCATGAACGACACCCTCATCGGACCGAGAGGGAGACTGTGAGTATACCACAGATTGCTTTAGTCTGTAGGAGAACAGATAAAAATAGACTGAGAAGGAAAGGAGGTTAAGGAGGAGAGCAAGACAGAAGAGGGAGAGAGATATAGAAAGAGAGAGAGAGATAGAGGGAGATCCGTGACTGCTTCCTCAGGATGTGGCTTTCGGTTCAGGGTTTTAAGGGAGGGGGTGACTCTATGACAACCGAAGGCTTACCTTTTGATCGGTGGCACCTGTCAAAGAAATATGTGTGAGAAAGTGTTTTCACGTTTAAGTATGATGCGTTTGCTCACGAGCCAGAAAGAGGCTGCTGTCACACGAGGCTGCGTTGTAATTTCGTTTGCTTGTTCACACGTTCACGGGTCGATGTGAATAGATAGCGCACAAACAAAAGCAACAGGTTATGGATAAAGAGAGAAGAACATTGGTGAGTAAGCACTAGCTAAAAAAAGAGAGATGAGAGAAAAGGTCAAAAAAGAGCTAAACATAGAACAAACAAAGGCCGTTTGTGGTCTTTTGATTGTCGCGTTTATCTGTGTCTCTGACGTTGTTTTTCTTTGCAGCTAAAAAACAGTTGTTACAGAGGGAGATGCAAAGAAAACATTAATCGGTTGCTGGGCTGTGCAAAGATTAATTGCGATTAATCGCTTCCAAAATAAAAGTTTGTGTTTACATAATATATATGTGTTTGTGTGTGTGCTATGTATAACTATTTTGCATATATAAATACACACACATGCATGTATATGTTTAAGAAAATCTGTTATTCATATATAAAATATTTATATATAATATAGATTATGTATTTATATATATATATAGAGAGAGAGAGAGTATTTCCATTCAAGTAATTCTTAAATATATACATGCATGCATATGTATCTATATATACAAAATAATTCAATGCATGCATGTATTTATATATACAAAATAATTCAATGCATGCATATGTATCTATATATAGAAAATAATTCAATGCATGCATGTATCTATATATACAAAATAATTCAATGCATGCATATGTGTCCATATATACAAAATAATTCAATGCATGCATATGTATCTATATATACAAAATAATTCAGTGCATGCATATATATTTATATATACAAAATAATTCAATGCAAGCATATGTATCTATATATACAAAATAATTCAATGCATGCATATGTATTATAAAAATCAATGCATGCATATGTATCTATATATACAAAATAATTCAATGCATGCATATATATATATATATATATATATACACAAAATAATTAAATGCATGCATTTGTGTGTATATATATATATATATATATATATATGTACACAAACTAATTCAACATATATTATGTAAACACAAACTTTTATTTTGGATGTGATTAATCGTTGCACAGGCCTAATCGGTTGTTTGTGTTTTTTCTCGCTAACGTTCATAAGGGTTTCGATGACTACTCATGATCTTTGTGTGTCTTTTCAGTTTTCAGATGCAATGAGCGTCTTCTAACTCAAGAGTGCTTCAGCCATTTACAACACGTCACATGGCTGACCACACGTCTCCCGAACCTGAGTCACTCTCCTTCGCTCCCATGTTTCGACCTCAGACAGAAGGTCAAAGGTCAAGCCACGACCTTTACCAGCAAAGCTCAATGAGTGGGCTCGGCCCGTTTGAAGTCCCGTGTGAAGCACCGGACGGCACCGGCTCCGCTCTGAATGGAATAGATCAATCGGGGAGCCCTGCTTATTGGGGAAGCATGTCCCCAGTGTCCTCTATGGGACTCAACAGGATCAAGGCACAAGCTGGAGTGTATGAGACCGACTGGAGTTCTCATTGCCACCAACAGGAGGCGGTGGACTGTTACGAAACAACTGGGCGCCAGCAACAAAAACTGGATTCTTTCTCCGAGGCCTTTTGCAGTCGTAACATGCCGCGAATGCAGGGTGGAGGAGAGCAGAGCGGCTTCAACAACTCGACTCCTCCTTCCCATTCCCTCTCTTTCCCTTTGGTTCTCAGCCCACCTCCGACGCCCCTGCCTCCTCAGTCCTTCTCTCCTCCCAAACGACCTCAACACTTCCTACCCGGACAGATCTTGAGCCAATCGCAGACGGATGGGTCGCTGCAGTTCTTCCCTTCTCTCCCTTCGCCGTCCAGCAGCAGGTACAATCACCCCATTTGGCTCCAGCTGCAAGCTGACGGCAACGAAAGTTTGGAGTTAACGCAGCACCTCCAACAAGATTCAAACTCCTCCCTAGTTTATTCGGAGCATGGGAGCCCTCATCTGAAACAAATGAACTCCCAGCAGAAAGGTAGGGGTGATGTAAACGCAACGTTTTTGTGTGTTTGATCTATTTTAAAATGCATAATGAAACGTTGTTTTGCTTGCACAGACTGTTCAATGCAAATGTCCCTCAACCCTGCACTGGCTCAACATCATCATCCTCAGTCGTGCGTACAGCAACATCTAGGTCACGAGCCCGGGACATCTGAAGATCACATGACATGGCCTCAGGTCTGTCATCTGCACCTTCACACAGATTGTTACCCTGGTCAAGCATTTTAGATCAATGGCTTTCACATCATTCTCGTCACTAGTTTTGCTAGCATGCAACGTTCACTTTACTTTTCTCATCTTGACAGATGGGGCAATCATCCCATTCATATGGGCCTTCTCAGCACCAGTCCAGTCTCCATGTGCAGGGCTCAGAGCCAGGAGAAGGATCACGATTAAGTTTTGGACAGAACTTCAGACCTGGGTCCTCAGACAAACTTCAGGGGTCCTCAAGCACACAGGCATGAGGCCAACTATTTACTAATTCATTTAGTTATGGCCTATAAGTATATATACTACAGTAGCGGTCAAAAGTTTGGAAACATTACTATTTTTAACGTTTTTGAAAGAAGTCTCTATCAAGCCTGCTTTTATTTGATAAAAAAAAAAACCTGAAACTGTAATATTGTGAAATATTATTACAATTTAAAATAATCATTTTTGTATTTTAATATACTTTAAGATATAATTTATTTCTGTGATGTAAAGCTGAATTTCGGCATCATACTCCGGTATTCAGTGTCAAATGATCCTTCAGAAATCATTCAAAAATGCTGATTTGATACTCAGTTTATGTATTATTATATTAATGTTGAGAAAAAAAGTTAAAAAGAGCATCATTTAATCCAAATAGAAGTCTTTACTATCACTATAACACATCCATGCTAAAGAAAAGCATTCATTTCTTTAAAAAAATAAAAATAAAATAATAATTACCGATCTCAAAGTTTTGAATGGTAGGTTATAATGTTACAAAAGTTTTCTATTTTAAATAAATTCTCCCTTTTTTTTAACTTTTTATTCATCAAAGAATCTATAAATATATAAAATAATATATAAAAAGATTAAGTAGCACAACTGTTTGATAATAAATCAGAATATTAGAGCGTTTTTTAGGAAAAGGATCACAGGAAAAAATTACATTTTAAAATGTATTAAAAACATGTATTAAAATAATATAGATTGTAATAATACATATTCTGTAATAATATTTCACAATATTACTGATTTTTGATCAACGACAAGCAGTTGGCAGGCATGAGAGACTTCTATCAAAACCATTCTGATCCCCAACCTTTTGAATGGTAGTGTATATATACACAATAAAAACATAAAATATATAAAATATAAAAATTTTCACATATTGTTTGAACGTACAGTTACGAGTGCTAGGTTAAAACCACAAGCCTTTGACTGTTATAAGCTGTGATTGGCTCTATGGCGACATTTTACGTTGCATAACTCACATGCAACTTTTGTCCATGTAGAATGTTCCCAGTTCCGGATACACTGGAGTCCCATTCAACAGTGTGATCCAGCTGAGTAGAGACTTTATGGAGACCTGGGAAGGAACGGCATCTCACTTTACACCACCTCCGATGCTGAACCCGACACGTAGTGGAACGGGGCTCTTCTGCAACCTGCTTTCTTCCCTTGCTGTGGAAAACAGAGCGCTGTGGACAGACGAGAGGAAAGAGGATGACTCACAAAGGTGAGCATTCAGATGTTTGTTTGTTTCTTCTCAGTCGCTCGTCGGTGTCATGAGAATGATTTTCCTCTCAAGCAAATGCTGTTTTATTAAGAGCATGCCTGAACAACAGAAAAACATGACTGCTTTAGGGCTGTGAAACGATTAATCGCAATTAATCGCATCCAAAATAAAAGTTTGTGTTTACATAATACATGTGTGTTGTGTGTATAATTATTTTGTACATATATACATACATATGCATGTATATATTTAAGAAAAATGTGTTAATATATCAAATATTTTTATTTATTATAATATAAATTTTGTAGAAATATATATAAAGTATGAACATGCAAATATTTCTTAAATATATACATGCATGTGTGTGTATTTATATATACAAATTTTTTATACACACTACACACACATATATTATGTAACACAAACTTTTATTTTGGATCGCGATTAATCGTTTCACAGCCCTAGATTGCTTATTTGACAACAATAATAATTATAAAATTGGTGTCAAGTTTTTGATGTCTTGATTTGGTCTCGTTTTAATTGGTGGTGGTTGAAGAGATTCCCCCTTCCATATGTAAAGCGATTTGAGTACCTAGAAAAGCGCTATATAAATATAAAAAAAGTCATTCAACTTTCTATCACATTCAAGGTGCATAAATATAGGCCCTGATTTCCAAGCTGAGCTGCCAGATCTGATCGTAGGAAGAGAGCATGATGAACGTCCAGAGGAAGCGGTCAGGGAGGAGCTGTTATGGAAACCTTGGGCAGAGCTAGAAGAAAATGACACCCTTTTACAGCACGGTAATAAAAGAAAATATTCAAATGATCATAAAGCAAGTGGTTTTTTGAAACATTATTCATGAGTGTGATTTCAAACCTCAGTTGAGAGTCTTCTTGACCTGAGTGCCTCCAGTGTTCTACCAGGAGGTGGCGCCAACCTGGAGCTTGCCCTTCATAGCCTGTCTCGGTGCAAGGGAAACATAATAGTAAGTGCAATATTCATTATGAACTCATGTTTATAGATTCACAAGACTCTATTCACGATTACCTCTCAAAAATGGTCATGACTACTTGATGACAAGCTGTCTTCCACAAATTAATTCAGCGTGGTATTTAATTTCCTTCTTTTCCCTCTCTACCAATCCTATACAACAGGCAGCGCTGGAGATGCTGTTGTTTAAAGACTCCCCTCCATCTGGAAGCTATCACTATTCTGGTAAATTCACACTTTTTAAAGGTAGGGTAGGCAATTTCGCAGAATTTTGAAAGCCTGAGATCCCGACCTCCCTTCAAAGCGTCTTCAAAGCCACGCCTCCCTTCAAAACACATGAACGCACACAGAAGAGTCTAGAAAGCGTCACAAGAGATATGGCGTTAAATTACCTCGTCTCAAATCACAAAACATTACAATAATAATGAACGTATACAACTTGCAGAGCTCTTACTTGTACCACCTGACTCATTTCGTCGTTAATAGTGTTGACAAAGAAACGCACAAAGGCTGCATTCCCAGATATTGAATCAACGTGGAAACATGACATCGAAACAACGTTGATCTGACATTGTTTTGCTCATCGAATTAACGTTGAACCAACGTCAGACGCGTCATTCTTTCAAAACTAACGGAAAATCAACTTGAAATCAACGTTGTTTCAACGTTATGAAAGCAAACCAATTTTCGATTTTCATTTAGCTTTGAAGAATGGTCTGACGTTGGTTCAACGTTAATTCGATGAGCAAAACAATGCCAGATCAATGTTGTTTCAATGTCAGTTTGCTGTCTGGGTTTACACTGCAGGTCTTGAATTGATGCCCAAATCCGAAATTTTTTTTGATTTTTTTGACAACCTTCTTACATCATCTTTTAAAAGTGACCCGTATCCGATTTTAGCATTTACACGATACACTGCTGAAACTAACAAATGTAGACGTTCTGACCGGAAAAGGAAGTAAAACAGCACGAAATGCAATGGATGCAGATGAGAATAAAATTACCCAGTGTTTTGCTTTCCACAATATTTTGAGAAATCAGCAAACAAAGATGAGAGCACGTATCCCCATATCTCGTGTCTTCAAACACGGATTTATTTCTGTAACAACCCTGCGTTTTAACCCTCACCGTCTCTTCGCCCCAAACACTCAAAAGAGATGAAACCTTCGCATTGCTCCATTGTGTGTATCCTTTATCCTCCATCGCGCCTATAAGTCATGTGATCTCAGTTGGTGATGTTATGAGTTGACATCACTTTTTTAATGACATACGACTCGCATTTACTGGGGAATATCCGATTTGTCTGCTTACATGGCACACGCGAATGCACGTATCCGATTCATATCCGATTTATTACCACGTATGAGTGAGGCCTGAATCCGATCTGAGAAAATTGGAATCCATGCGTTTTTTTCCTGCTTAAACGTTCACCGGTCATATCCTATGGAACCCTGTTTCCGCCACAGAATGTAAAATAAGGTAATTGTGACTTTTTATCTCGCAATTCTGACTTTCGTTCTCACAATTGTGATGTAAAGGATTGCGTGATTTAAATTCGCAATTGAGTGTTATAAAATCAGAATTGCGAAATATAAAGTCAAAATTGCGAGATATAAAGTCGCAATTGCGTGTTATAAAGTCAAAATTGCGAGATATAAAGTCAGAATTGCAAGATAGAAAGTCGCAATTGCGTTTTATAAGGTCAAAATTGCGAGATATAAAGTCAGAATTGCAAGATATAAAGTCGCAATTGCGTGTTATAAAGTCAGAATTGCGAGATATAAAGTCGAAATTGCGAGATATAAAGTCGCAATTGCGTGTTATAAAGTCAGAATTGCGAGATATAAAGTAAAAATTGCGAGATATAAAGTCAGAATTGCAAGATAGAAAGTCGCAATTGCATGTTATAAAGTCAGAAATGCAAGATATAAAGTCGAAATTGCGAGATATAAAGTCGCAATTGCGTGTTATAAAGTCAGAATTGCGATATAAAGTCGAAATTGCGAGATATAAAGTCGCAATTGCGTGTTATAAAGTCAGAATTGCGAGATATAAAGTAAAAATTGCGAGATATAAAGTCACAATTGCGTGTTATTAAGTCAGAATTGCGAGATATAAAGTCAAAATTGCGAGATATAAAGTCGCAATTGCGTGTTAAAGTCGAAATTGCAAGATATAGTCAGAATTGCAAGATAGAAAGTCGCAATTGCATGTTATAAAGTCAGAAATGCGAGATATAAAGTCGAAATTGCGAGATATAAAGTCAGAATTGCGTGATATAAAGTCAGAATTGCGAGATATAAAGTCAGAATTGCGAGATATAAAGTCAAAATTGCGAGATATAAAGTCGAAATTGCAAGATATAAAGTCAGAATTGCAAGATAGAAAGTCGCAATTGGATGTTATAAAGTCAGAAATGCATGATATAAAGTCGAAATTGCGTGAGGGGAAAAAAGAAAAAAGTTAGTCTTTTTTCGCCCTTAGAATTGGCCTGATAAGTCGCAATTGCGAGTTTATATCTCACAATTCTGAGAAAAGATGTCAGAATTTTGACATATGAACTCGCAATTATCTGTTATAAAGTCAGAATTGTGAGATGTAAACTCGCAATTGTGAGATAAAAAGTCACACTTCTGTCATATTTTCTAAGAATTCTGACTTTATTTCACGCAATTCTGACTTTATATCTCGCAATTGTGACTTTATATCTCGCAATTCTGACTTTATATCTCGCAATTGCGACATTTTATATCTCGCAGTTCTGACTTTATATCTCGCAATTCTGACTTTATATCTCGCAATTCTGACTTTATATCTCGCAATTCTGACTTTATAACACGCAATTGCGACTTTATATCTCGCAATTCTCAGTGTAAATGGGGCTAAATAGTCTGAGAACGTTACGGGTTGCCATCTCGTCATTACGGTTAAGACATGGTGTGAACGCAGCATAAGCTCGTAGTTTTGGTTCAGGCATAACTGTAAAAGGCGGCTGACGTTTGTTTGTGGCGCTCGATGACTGACGTCTGTCTAGCTCTGCACAGCATGAAACGTGCTGATGACGTGTGATGTTCAGACCGAATGCAATGATTGGACAAAGAGCTTTTATTCCTGAGACTTCCACAGAAGACATATGTACAGGTTTTAATATTTAGACCACTTTTATTATTGATTGCTATCAGGATGTGAAGAGAGTTTCAACCAGTATAACAAAAAGTATTCATAAAAAAAATTGCCTACCCTAACTTTTATTCTCAAAAACGTTTAATCAACAAAATATAAAATGAGGCTGATCCAATTTCACTTTGCATCTAGGAATGGATATCTGGACTTTGAGTGAACAAAGACTGTTCCATAAGGCATTTGCAATTTATGGAAAAGATTTCTCCTTTGTGCATAAAATGGTAATATATCAAACATTTGCAAATCTAAGCCACAAATATTTCGGATCACAGCATTTGCAATTCAACATGTTCATGCTTTCAGGTGAGAACAAAGCAGGTGTCACAGTGTATTGAATTTTATTACAACTCCAAGAGGCTTTCAGAGAAACAAAGGAAGCAGATGGAGAGAGAAAAAGAAAGTTTGGAGGAAGAGAGACTTGCAGCAGTCATCAATCAGGTAAGACTTTGTGAAGCTTTGAAACATTTAAGAATCATTAGTTTCAAATCAGTAGTTCAGATAACTTATATCAAACTCAGATGAGAGTTTGTATTTGCTGCTGATAGTGTGTGAAGGCAAGCATTAATTCAAAAAGGAGAATTATATAGCCTATGCCCAGATAGCACACGTACGTCTGCAAGATGTCTGTTAAAGATCACTTCATCTGGAAAGCATCTGCATCTGATGGACATCTTTAACATGTCAGTTTAACATATATTTGAAATCATTACATCTTAAAGACATCTTCTAAACGTCCATTTGACATCTGACAGGAAACATCCTATGTATTCCCAGATAGCACGAGTCTATTTGATGTGATCTGGAAGGTGAATTTTTAAGAGTGTTTGCTCATCTGCAATACGTCTTTAGGACGTTTCCTGTCAGATGTCAAATTGACTTTTAGAAGATGTCTTTAAGATGTCATCATCAGTCGGTTCCCCTGGTATGGAGCTCGACAATATGTTTCCACAATTCTCTATTCTTGGCAATACTGATGATCACTTTAGTTTCCTTTTCCCTTTCGACATGGGTGAGTGACTGACTGCTCTTCGCTGCAGGGAGAGCTATTTGGTTCCAGGCTTTTTGACTTTTGTTGTACTCGTCAATGTAGCTCCTGATTTTATGTCTGAAAGTTAAGTGAGGAGCTCCTCGCTTGTTCTTATCACGGACTTCTGAATGATAGATGGCATAGATGTGGGTTTTAGATGTGGCTTTAAGATGTAATGATTTAGAAAGCATGTTAAACGGACATCTTTTAAACGTCTATTTGAAATCTGACAGAAAACGTCCAATAGACATATTCCAGATGAGCAAACACTCTTAAAAATACATCTTCCAGATGTAAACATCACATCAAATAGACTTGTGCTATCTGGGTTCCAGATGTAAACACAAACATCAAATAGACGTCCGTAATGTGCGTGTGCTAGCAGGGTAATTGCTTTTTATTGACCTAGTTTTCCATGCCCTGTCCAATAATAACACAATAAAGAAAACATTTTATAGAACTTTCATATTACATTCAATACACTTTCATGAAAACATTTGCAAAAAAGGTGTGATAACGTGTTTGGACTGTTGTTGTTTTTTTCGTTGCATTTACCAGCAGGCACCGCCAGGCTGCGGTGTTTCGAGCTCAGCGCTTCGGAACAATGAATCTCGAAGCAAAATAATTCAGATTTAACGTTAGTGAAAAGCTGTTTCTCACATCTAACTTTTACTGAACCGAAAAACGCTTCTTTTTTTAAAAAAAAAAAAATTTAAATAAACATGAATACTACCCATAAGGCTACATAAGCACGACCCAAGCTGTCCACAACTCGAGAATGTTTTATAATACACTCAAAAGCAGTTTAGTGAGGCACCGTGTCAGTTGCGTTTAACGTTTGCGTTTGAGAAATGTTTCACCACAGTGAATAACTACCTTTTGCTGTTATATCCTCATCTGCAAATGTGAGATATTCATGCGAGAGAATCCTTTTTGGAAGACGAAAGCACTCTGCAGCACCCGACGCGACACGCGAGTCAGTCTACGGCAAACTTCACAGCGCGCATGCGCGTCAAACTGACATAATATGCAATGGGATTTAAAGAAAGAAATGTTCAAATACACAAGCAACTATTTTGAATGGAACAAATGTTTGTTTTTGTGGAGTACTCACTCTTGCCAATTTTGTTTTTCACTTATAATTTTAAACTATCCTTCAGTTCATATTTACATGCGACTATTTTAATGTAACATTTAAATGCACATCTATTTGTAAACGTTCACAGCTTTTGATTTGCACATACTTTGAACAACATCGGGAAGCATGCAGAACACCGCTTTCACAACAAAATAAATAAAGTTTTAAAATAATCTGAAACTGTTCAACAGGTTCTTCCAGCCCCAAAGACGCTAGTTAACCAAGGCAGTATGGAAAGACTGGTCCATACTCCGCTACTTCCCACAAGCTTTCCCTGTAAACAGTGTGGAAAGTAAGTGAATGATTTTTGCCTATGCTTTATTGCTTATTAGGCCTCATATGCAATTGGAACAATGTGCCCAGACTTGACCTTGCAAATTGTTCTTTCAGGATGTTCTACAAGATAAAAAGTAGAAATGCTCACATGAAGATCCATCGACAGCAGCAAGAGGACTGGAGAGAAAAACTACAGATACACCCAAACCAGCAAATCCTAAATCAGACACACCATCAGAATCACATCCTGACCCAAAGTTTAATTCAGAATTTGGTCCAAACACATTCCCAGTTGGCTTTTCTTCAAAGCACAAAGACTCAGAGCACATGCCCAACCAGTAGCGCCAGTTGCATGGCTCCCACCCAGAACCCACAGATCGTGCCCAAAGCACCCCCCTTAACCCTCCACACTGGACATCAGCAGACATGGAGCGCCCTGCACAGTGTAGAAACAGGTGGCCTGTTTTATAACCGAGGTTCTGTGGTAAATGGGCTCCATTTGAGCATACAGGATAGTGCAAGTAAACCATGGACTGATAACCAATAATTTACATTATGTCTGTACAGTTGTTTATCCCTTTCAATGCCATAAGAACTTTCATTAAATGATCTTACATGTTTCAAGGCAGACTCATCTTCACATTTAAGAAACTACCATCATGTGAAAAAGGACATCAAAAGGCTTTATCGGAAAGTGTTTATTTTGACAAACTGCACAATCAGAAGACAATGCAAGTTTACTAAATATCACTCCAAAACTAAAAGCCTCCATTAGACCCTGAAATAAAGTTAAACATGCGTTTAAAATATACATAAACGTGCATATTACACAAAAATAAATTTAAATAGTTCACCTAATGACGAGCACGGTCTACTGGCGAACTCTATTGGGCCGCAAACGCACATAGTCAGCTGGCCTCATTGCAGGGGGTGCCTGATAAGTCTTCACAAAAGTTTGTTTCTTCAGTTGCATGGGCTTAAACACTTGGGGAGGAACTGAAAATAGAAGACATTCAAGATTATTCTAGACCTACATGGAGACCAAATGGCTCTAAGGTAGTTAAACCATTCAACTTGCCCATCACAGGATCTTTGATTTGTCCAATTCCAGGAGCCTCCGCTCTGAACAGCCGGTCCACAAAGAGGCTTTCAGTACCACGTACAGGATAAATGCACCTCACGGTTATCCTTTGGGGGGTAGAATGGCTGTGTGGTTAAGAAGTTGGCCACTACTAGGTAATTGCTAGGCCACTTTAGTTACCTGTATGCAGCATCTCTCGTGATTACTGGCCTGCTGTCTGTGGAATACAACTCATGAAATATGAGCTCATTTTCATAAGTCACATACTGCCGATCAACCTGGAGATCAAAGAAAGTTAAATCAAGTAACTTTCATATACATGGGGAAGATAACCTTTTAAACGCACCTGAAATCTAGTGCCACAGGTGTTAAGTCCAAAGGAGAACAGGACTCTGCGCTCATCAGTTTCTCGAGGTCTGCAGCTTGGATCCAATAGTGTAGTTCGGGTAGGGTCTGCCAAAGGTACCGCTTTAGTGAGGTCACGCACTACAGTCATCACTCCATCAGCAGAGCACACTTAAAAAAAATAGAAGATAGGAAACCACTCCATTGAAAGTAAACCAGACTATTGTGTAGATTAGAAAGTCCCTAAATCAGTTCATATGAGAATTGTGCTTTCCGGTGCCAACGCCATAAATTTGGGTGAAGCCAATGGGAACCGCTGCATTACCCAAGAGCTCAGTGGTTTGGAAGAGACAGCATTTGCCCGAGGACTGTTCAATCTCCAGGGTTTTAGCATTTCTGGTGAGAAGTTCAAAGGTGCCGTAGAACTGCTGAAGCGTGATATTCTACAACGGAGGGATGTTAGTTTCAGTAATTTGAAGAAACTCAATGGCTTTTAACAGTTAAGCCCTACTAACGGGTAACAAACCTCATAGTGGTATCCAATTGTAAATAGAGGAACATCCAAAATGAAGTTGTTGCTCTCATTGGACATGATGTAGCCACGTTCAGACACCAGCTGTTGGGTCAGCGGGTACTTGCCGATGACAATGTCCCACAAGTAGTCGTACTCCTGATAGGCTCTCATGAAGCGCACGCCATTGCTAGCACACCTGACGTTAAAGACGGGTGGGACTGTTGAGAAATTGAACACCTCAGTGAATGGCAGACAATGCCTTTCACTTTTGCCAAATGATTAGCGTCTAAAAGTTCTAACAAATGCAAAACCTCTTAATACTACGATCCTTACCGAGATCATGAGCGGAAGCACTCAGAGAGGAGAAAAAGAAATAGGGCTCCATTTGAGGAAGGATAGCCAAAGTCCACTTAATTTCCAAAGAGTACTCCCAAATGTGCTCTGCAATATGCTGCAAGAGACAAAAGACTCAAATGCCAGACATTGGGGAAACCCATGGGTCTAAAATCAGCTCCACTTAGTCTTAAATGCATAGAGCAGTGTTGTTTTTCCACAATCTTTGATGCCTAGGACACCCTCAAAAGGGTCATGGTAGCTAGGAGTACGCATTTATATTAAAGTAGAAAAACCATAATTTAAAGTCCCCGTGAACCGGAAGTTGCAAACGATTTCTCCAGTGCTGTGACGTATTTCCAAGTGAAACGGAATATTGAACAGAGGGCAGGGTTTTACTCTAGCGCTCCTCCTCTCCATCTCTCGCTCATAGCAAACTAACGGTTTGAGGGGAGTGGTTAAGCATTTCCCCACCCAAGTTGTGAAACCTACGTCATCAACCGTTCCAGACCGGAAGTAACTTTTCAGATTTTGATTAAAGATTACCAAGGTAAAACATTTTAAAAATATATTTTTACTTGCACGGATTAATTGTTCACCACAAGACTAGTAATATGTGCTAACAAAGTAAATGGGTTCAATTTTGATTTCACAGGGACTTAAAAAAAAAAAAAAAAAAAAAAAAAAAAAGCCTGACCTAGAGAATGGAGAATGCGGTTAACGAAAGAAACTCACCTGCTTCTTGACATATTGGGCATCAAATGGTACTCTAACGATATATGCAAAAGTACTATTGTCTTGTCGGACTCTGGTGATGGAAATTCCCATCTGCATGGCCGTTGACACGGAGAACTCCTGCCCGTTCAGCTCCAGGGACATCAGCTCAACATTAGAAGGTATATTACCCAGGTAGACCTGGAAGACTTGTTCCCCAGGTGTCGTTTCTGGAAGAAACTATAGTTGTAGTGAACTTAATCCTCACAGAGCAGCAATGACATGACCATTTAACATCCAACCTAACTCACGGTTGATTGAAAAGGGAACACGAGGAATTGTTGTAGTGGCCATTTGCTGGAATGCCTTGTACTTGGGATCCACAGCATTCTGGTCCACAAACATTTGCTGGTTGGTCAGCGGGGCGTTGTAAATCTCACGCTCACGATGCATACTGTCACGCACAAAGCTCTGCAGGTAAATTAAGAGTTAACATAAGATGCTTAATCCAGGATCAAACAGGAATTGAACTCCAGACCATACCTTTCTAGTCCCTCCCACAGAAGCAAAGGGGACGCTACCGACAACAGCCCCTTCATTGGATGTCACAGAGTAGCCTCGGTCTACCAACTTCTGTTTATCTAGGAGCTCGCCATTAACTCCCACAGCTTTTGACCCGCTTCGCAACTCAGAGGGTGGAGTAGCCAGAGGGGTCTTTACTGCAGGGGTCCTCCCGTGAAGTCTGTGGCCATCAAAAGAGCCTTTATCTGAAATCAAATATGGAACCTGAAAACAAAACTCTTGCAACATTGTTCAGATGCATAGCACGTGTCCCTTTTTCACAATACCAAATAAGTCACTGTTCTTAAGAGTTGCCAAAATTGCAGTGGTTGTTTCTAGCATGTTAGATGTTCAGCAATAGTTATTAAAAGCTACACCCTCCAGTTAGGCTTGGAAGATCTTAACCATGTAGAAAGACACATCCTGGCCATTTTCTAGAATGACAACGTCAAGATTCAAGAGACAAAAATGTCAAGATAAGTGCCTTAAAACTCATTGGAAGTCTTTGGGATGTGCTGGAGACTTTACAGAGTGCATGGACTCAATACAATCTTAATTAAAGAGAACACTTCCACTTCTTTTTGTTCAAGATCTTGTACTGACAAAGCAAGAGTCTAGTACCCTAAAGTCTCCTTCAGCACATCCCGAAGACTTGTTGGAACTTTCAGGTGTAAAACGGATTCATGCTCCCCAACCATTCTGTCACAATTTGAGCCTGAATCTTGACATTGTCATCTTGGATTGATGCATCTTCCGACATGGTAGTTTAAGAAATTAAATGCTAATCCCCAATTGGGGTTGGAAGAACGGTTCCCAAACGCAACATGCTAGAAACAGTCACGGCAACAATGATCCAATCATTGAATTGGAAGCAACTTAACATACTTGGTTCTTACCCAGTGAGCAGGAAGCAACCAGCTCCACCATTACAACCATCCAGTTCTGTTTAAAAAATACAGTGGCTTGGATCACTTCAACTGCAACACCACGGTCCTGAAAAAAAGTTGAACAGAATCACAAGGCAGTCCTAATTGTCTATGCAAGCACTAGAGATCAGGTCATATGTACCTGTTCTAGGTTAAAGGGATACGCCACTTTTTTTGGAAATTGGCCCATTTTACAACTCCCCCAGAGTTAAATAGTTGAGTTTCACCGTTTTCGAATCCATTCAGACGATTTTCTGATACTTAGAATAATATCAGGAACCAGACAGTTTCTGGTCTCATTGACTTCCATAGTAGGAAAAAAATATACTATGGAAGTCAATGAGACCAGAAACTGTCGGTTACTGATATTCTTCTAAATATCAGAAAATCGGCTGAATACATTCGGAAATGGTAAAACTCAACTGTTTCACTCTGGGGGAGTAGTAAAATACACCCATTTCCAAAATAGTGGAGTATCCCTTTAAGGGGGAAGTGACAAACCATTTTGGTTATGTGGCATACCATTTTGACAGAAGCATAAGGTTGTCCAAAGGTTGTCCGAAACACAAGTCTGCCAGGTGTGATCATGAAGTAGTAGCCCAGAGCAGCAGCATTGTCAGGCGACATGAGTTCAGACTGCCGTCCATCTTGCTGTAGCATCACCTGCCAGGGCTCCACTGAACTCCGTGGCTTGGAGAAAAACAGTGTAGCCAAGACCATGTTTCAAAGTGAACCATTAAGATACACAGCTAGCCACTTACCACAGAGAAACATTTAATACTGCCGGATGTAGGGCAAAGATCAGTTGTCACAGACACCTGGGGGGGGGGGGGAAGGGAGAGAGATTAAATAATCAAATAAACAAATCATAAGAAAGTCTCACTCATACCTCCATGTAGTTCTCTTCACAAGTAATCTCTCTTGGAGGAAAAGGAGCAACAGAGCAAGTCTTGGAGACATTGAAAAAAAATTCACCACCACGCTCATCTGTAATGATCACACCGAACATGAAGGTGAAGACCTCATCATTCTGGGGGAGGAGGGGAAAAAAAAGTTTAACTTTATCATTAAAAATTTTGAGGCCAACAAACGCGTTTCTGAGGTCAAGTAAAATTGGAAAGTTATATTAAAAAAAAAATTAACACCTGGTTGTCTTAATATTGAATTAATACAAAGGAGATTTAGTAAAAAAGAAACTATTATGTCATCTGAAATATTAGTTATCAAAGTTAATTTCACAAAAGATACATACAATAAGTCATGAATAGTTTACAGTGTACAGTTTATTATTCCTTTGTTGGCAAAGCTACATTCTCAGCAGCCATAACCCATCATCACCACATGATTATCCTAATTTGATCACTACAAATCACTTAAATGAGCATTATCCTGAAATTTTACTCTGTCGTTTCGTACCTTATTGTCTGTGTGACAGGAGAAGTATGAAGCTCTGAGAACAACACGACCCAACTGGGGATCGACAGAGTAAGTGTAACCACACTGAACCCCATAAAGGTCTGTAACAGGATACACACCCGTGGCATCTAAAAAACAAAGAGAAACACACCATGTTGCATTTATAACAACAAAAGCACATGCTAAAAGGGTGTAAAACTCAAACGCACCAACTGCCTCAAAGCGAGGGTTAACACCAGAGGATGGTACAGCTACCGAGATGAAGAGGAATCGGTGCTTGCACTCAACCTCAATGGGAACTAGGAGCGAACAAGACAAAAAGTTAGAAAACAAGCAAACAGACATTAACCCTTAATGATAGACGAAGGCCATTACTTTGTGGTTGACTGGGGGACTGCTGGAACGGGCTTTTGATGTCACGTAGGGCAAAAGATACAGCACAGAGGAAAAGAACCCCTCTAAAGAGGAAAAAACAACACCAAATCCCATTAAAATCATTCCCATACAAAGAAAAAAGGGGGTTAAAAAAAACAGTTACCCTGACACAAATTCAACACCCATAACTGAAGCGTGGTATCTTAAAACACTAACAAAACTGCAACAACACTATCCTGAACAACACAGCTACGATTAACAACATTGCTGGCCAGATTAAATACATTATGTTGATTGACTTGTTAGGAACTAGATGTGTTGATTGGCTAATTCAACGGCAGTTGAGTTATTTGAACAAGAAGACAGCGGCTGCAGAACTTCCTGATCGGCTGTAAAGCTCCGCCCATCATCCAGAGCTATAAAAAGTCAATTTTGTTTAATTTTCGAGATGTTCACTCTGCAGTCAGTAACTCATCTTTTATCACTAAAAAATGTTTAAACGTTTGAAATAGCTTGGATAGGCTGCCCCTTTGCCTCAACAATTTTAACAGTACAAAATAAACAATTTTCAGAAACATTTTTTGTAGGCTGATATTTAATGTATAAAGGCCTGTATAAAACCTACATACTAGCCCCATCAATAAAGTATCGATTAAAATGAGTAAGTGCACTGGGAAGTTATGGAATTATTTATGTGAACTAATCAATCAATGTTTCAAGAATTCTTTGGAAAATAAATATTGGGGAAATATAAACACATAAAATGTACCGCCCAGTGTTTAAATGAAACCTCAAATATTATTTCATAAATTATAATAATTTACATCTTTCAGTCTTTCACTCAAAGTTATTCTAATTCGAAAGTTTCAGGCCAGTGCCTTTTCAGCAGTACAAAAAAACGTTCTCAAACTGTCTAAAGAAAAACTATTGAACCAGTGTAATAATGTTCCTGTCCACAAGGTGGAAGAAAAGGCATATAAACATGTGCCAAGATATGATTTGAGTGTCACCAACTGCAAAATTCTCAGAACCTGATGATCCTGAGAGAAATAGAAACAAAAAGTTATAGCATAATAAAATGAGGTACTAAACAAACATATAATACATGAAGTCAAGATACCAATAAAGTTAAATTGAGTTTTTTTCCTATACAAGTTGTCATAATTACTTGTAATATAACCTAATTATAGTAAGTTTTAATTAGCTCTGAATATACAAAGTCACAGAAACACCATCATTTTTTATTAGAAATGAAAGGGAGATAATACATTTCACAATAACAAGGACAAATAAACCTGAAAATGAGAATGAACCACAAAAATGGCAATGAGAATGAATGACTTCTACATTTTTTTTTTTTTGAATGACTTCTAAATCCAAGCATAAGGATTTGTCACTGTAAACATCATGAAAATGAACCAATCATGATAGAGCAGCTCAATTTGATCATTGGTTTATACATTAATGTGTATTTTTAACATACACTCTAAAAAATGCTGGGTTGTTTTAACCCAATTTTGGGTCAAATATGGACAAACCCGAAATGTTGGGTTAAAAATGTAATGTAAAAATTTTACCCAACGGCTGGGTTAGTCCATATTTGACCCAAAGTTGGGTTAAAACAACCCAGCATTTTTTAGAGTGTATTTACCTGATTATTGCAGGTTTGGGTCGTATTCTGAGTTTGCATTTCACTGTTTTATTGATTTTGAGTAATACTGTTTCTGTTTTTGTGCAAGTGAGATGAGTATGCCTGCTCACATTTACTCTACAGCTACAATAACCATCAAGTTCACACACACAACGCCTCTGCACTTACTCACGATTTTACTCAACATGGCGACAGAAGAGGTGTCAGTCAATACATGTGGAAAGGTAACTTGCATTACTTATTTGAAAAGTAACTATTGTGTAGTAATTTCAAAAGTAGCCTTATGCATTACTTGAAAAGGTCATCTGATTACGTACTGTATTAATTTTTGTGAGTGAACGCACCACAATCGTGAACATACTGTAAATGCACAACTTTAAAGGTGATTTTCTCAATGTTTTGATTTTTTTGCATCCTCCGATTTCAGATTTTTAAATAGTTAAGATATCTCGGCCAAATATTGTCCTATCCTAACAAAATACATCAAGGTAAAGCTTATTTATTCAGCTTTTACATGATGTGTAAATCTCAATTTAATCAATCTACCCATGTTTTGTGGTCCAGGGTCACATATATAAGCATCCAACACTGCACCAGAAAAGATAAATATTGTATTTCTCTCTTATAAAGATGGTCAGATGTCCTGTAGTGAATTATATTAATTAATAAATAAACAGTGGGTGGTTATTGCACCTTTTTAGTAAAAACATCACAGCATCTCCTTATATAGGCCTAATGATATTACCTGATGACAGAGAAAAAGCACATCCCCTCTGTCAGACAACAAGTGAGGTCAGTTTCAAAGTTGAAATCAGTCAATGACCCTATAACACTATGTAATTTAGGAAAGTCCCCTCATGAGAAACAGGAAGAAAAAATATCAGAAACTATAATGAGAAACAATGATCACAAGTCATATTTCTTATATTGTACTTCTTCATTAGTCATGAGAAGAAGTGACTAAAAGTGAAACGGGGACATAACATTCATGCCAGGGTTGGCATCATCCTAAAATATAGGTACAAGTTATTTAGGTTTGTATTTGTATGTGTTTAAATGACTTGCTGGTATTAGTTAAGTCATTATTGATTTGTTGTTTATTTAGAAAAACCTTTATAGGGACCCGAGACGCAAATCAGTTTAAGCTATAGCCTACTCTTGATGTGCAATGCATTGGTACAGTGTTTGGTATTAAAGTAGAACAATTAATCAAATCCCTGATTTACAACAAAACACAAGTACATAATGTATAATGTAGAATATTTGTAGACAAAACACATTCCACTGGGTCTCTTCTGGCAGCTTTGGGCGGCTGCTATTGTCTTCACTTCCTGTTGTGGGCAGCAAGTTGACATCATTGTGCTTGATATGTGCACTGAGTCATTTGCCTGTCGACTGTTGAATTTAAGTCAACACAGAATTGAACAGATGTGACCTTTCAGCATATTAACCAAGGCTATTATTGATTAATGTGCTGAAATTATGATAGACAGATTAAACAGAATGAATACAGCATGAAAATGTACGTTCCATCACTAAGTTATTTAGCACAGGCAATTTCATCCGTGCATGAGAGACTGCTGTCTTGGTTTGTTGGTTTTAGAGCGGTTTATTTGGGCATTTGTTAGATCTGGTCAGGCTTGGAGACCACCAGACCAACCATCTAAACCCCAACTTAAAGGGATAGTTCACCCAAAAATTTTCAACACAAATGTAGTCATTAATTTCTCACCCTCATGAACACAAATTAAGATATTTTTAATGAAATCCTCCATTGACAGCTACACAACTATCACTTTGACGCTACAAAAGGTTCATAAAGAGATCGTAAAACTAACCCATATTAAGCGTTTAGTCTGAAGAGCTTTATATGATGAACAGTTAATGTGTATTGTGAAGATGTACCCTTAAATATATTTACAGTATCCCTTCCTTTAACCCATTTAAGTCAAACCACGGTTTCACATATCAAGTATTAATACTGCCGAGATTATATATATATGATAATAACACATCAGTGGCTAAATTACAGTGCCATACCACAGAGCAAATTTAATCCATCTATTTACAAACATTAATTGGCCTTATTCTTATAACTGAACTCAAAACTGCAGTTGGCTTTAAATCCCGTGGATAATACATTCCAGATTTTGCCTGAACGTATTTCTGTGTAACCATGATGTAACCACGAATCTTTCAAATCACTGACTATTTGTGATGGATTTGATTTTATTCATCAAATTAATCATTTCATTTTAAACGTTACAAAACACGTTTAAAATTAAACGATGTGATATTTTACGTTTTTCTTTGAGAGCACAACACGCAGACGATCCCTTGGATGGATAAGCATCTGCACAAAGATCAGCGCGAGAAATACGAAATAAGATTTGAATTCTGAATTCCCATACACCTGAACCCGTGGATGAAAAACGTGATGAGAGATTATTGCTTGTATTATTTCCAAGGACAGTGACACAATGTAGTCTAAAAGGGGGAGACAAAGAAGAGGATATGGAAATAGGCGTGACATGCAGTGTGCTTGCAGTAATTTGTCCAATGTAAATGCATCACATTTACAAGTGGTTTGATTGTCCATCGGCGTGCATGTAAACATGAGTTCTGGTGTAAGTATAAAATGTGATTGCATGCATGCTCAAACCTCTCGTTTTTTCCGTAAGATATAGTTTGACAGTAACGGTGTTGCAAATGTCGTATTATAATGATGTTTCAGGAGAAAACATATTGTAAACACATAGGCTACTAAAGACAAGGGAGTTTTATTTTCTTCTCAACCCATCGCTGGCAATGACCATAGACAGTAAAAGAAATGACAGGCTTGGCTGCAGTTGCCTAGTAACGGAGCAACGAGCCCTTAGTAGATGTGGGACTCGTCAAATCCTGTTCATTCAAGATTAGAAGATTAAAAGCAATTTGTTATATAAGTGTGCATTGTGTGCAATAAAAACAACTAATTAAATAAACTGTTTGCTTTTATGACATATGCAGGAACAAGAACACAGGACGAGACTCCAGCACTTTCTGTCCGAACTTGCAATATTGGGTTCTTTACAGGTGGGCTGGTACTGAGTATACTATCATTTCATAGATCAGTGAAGTTTGTCAAGCAAGCCAACATATGAGTTTTTCAACATACAAAGCCTTTTCTGAAAGTTTGAAATAGCACATTCTTGCATGTGTTGCTAGCAACATATTGCTAGCATGATTAGTTTGTCGCTAACATGAATTAACATGTTCCTAGCATGAATTAGTACGTTGCTAGCATGGTTGAACAGTTTGTTAACATAATTCAGCATTTTTTGCTGACATGATTTAACGTATCATGTTGCTAGCTAGATTAGCATGTTGCTAGAATGATTTAACACATTAACATGTCTTTGCATGTTGTTAACATGATTAACATGTCACTACCATGTGGCTAGCATAAATGAACATGTTTACAAGCATCCAAGCATGATTTAACATGTTGTTAGCATTTGCTAGCATTATTTAACATGTTGTTAGCATGCTGCTAAATACCACAGGTAGATGCCAAAGGACTGCATATAACTATTATACGAATGGTAGCACATTGCTAGCATGAATAAGCATGTTGCTAGCATGTTTTAGCATGTAGTCCAATAATTTGCTACCCTAATTACTTCCTGCATCCAAAATCGAATACTTCTCTACTATACAGCAAGTAAAAAACAGTATGCCAACAGAGTAGTATGTCCGAATCAGTTGTATATGAAAAACAGTATGTAAAAAAAATCCCCCCTGATGACTTACTACTTCTTCACACTTTACTGTCCCATGAGGCCACGGATTTATGAATGGCAGTGAAGTGACGCAACTGGTAGGTCACATGAAAATGACAAAAAGGCAGATTTTGTAACTCCAGATTACATTCATACTACACACAATAACACTATATTGAGCATACTTTTATAAATTACTAAACTCATATTCAAATGCGGTACCTACGAAAGTATGTGATTTCAGATGCAGCGTACAAGTCTTATTGTGCAAAAATCTTGACCCCCTTATTGAAAGTCATTGGGACTTTTCATAGTTTGATCGTCTGTTTAACGGAAATCATAAATTGGATCAGTTAGAAAATATTTGAAATCTCTTGGAAGAGATACTGTTTAAATTTAGTCTCAGAAGAAGTAGATGAAAAAAGATCTGTTTTCAGTCTTTTATGTCTGTCTGTAGGGCTTCCATTATTTTCAGCCCTGGCTAAGAGGGAGAGAGGAACTTCTGTTGACCGTAGTCAACGATGACTCGGTAGGGTCTTCGTTAATCTATTTATCTCTCTTTATTTTCTCTCAGAGAGTTTTTATCTAAAAGTTGAAGATGTTTGGGGATGTTAAAGGGATAGTTCTCCACAAAATTAAAATCATGCCAAAATCGGGCTAAAATCGTGTAATCTGAACCAGGCAAAAGTCTTACGGGTTTTGGAACAACATGAGGCGAGTAATAAATGACAGAATTACATTTTTTGGGGGTGAACTATCCCTTTAAGTCATCAGTTCTAGCTCAGGAACAAACTTCTATAAACACATACTAGTATATCTCTGGAAAGAACTGCTGCAGCTTCAGTGATTGTTACATCTGACGGCTTCGTCTTTCTTTGCTCTCAGAGATGGCGTTCTCCTGGGTTCGCTGTGTCTGTGGCCTCCACCTTCACCAGCTCAACCTGCAGTAGCAGTTACAGTCTGGACAGTGATTACGCCAGCTCACCTTTAGCAGGAGAAGAACTCCTTCCACAGCGCGAACACCAGACACCCGGGGCCACACCGCAACAAACTCCCAGCAGGTGGAGAGGAAATATCCTTCCACTCACTCTACCAATTATAAACCAAGTGCTGTAAATCCATTCTTTTCATTATTCACTTATAGGGATGTTGATTCTCATCTTCTCCCAGCCTCACCAAGTGAGAAAGAGATCGCTGTTCCTGTGAGTATCGTTTCAGATTTACAGACTTAAAGGGCCAATGTCAAATTCACAGATTAAAGGGATAGTTCACCCCAAAATGAAAAATCTGTCAGTAATTACTCCCCATCATGTTGTTCCAACCCTGTAAGACTTTCGTTCATTTTCAGGACAGAAATTAAGATATTTTTGATTAAATCTGAGAGCTGGATCACTCCTCCATAGGCTTCTTAGGGGATTAAAACTTGCCGGCCCAGAAAAGTTATTAAAGACATAGTTAAAATAGTCAGAGTGACTAAAGTGGCTCAACCTTAAGTTTATCAAGCGATGAGAACACTTTTTGTGCGCAAAAAACATGACACACAAAATGGAAGAGTGATCCAGCTCTCAGATATAATCAAAAATATCTCAATTTGTGTTCTGAAGATATACGAAAGTCGAAAGTCTTACAGGGTTGGAACAACATGAGGGTGAGTAATTACTGACAGATTTTTCATTTTTGGGTGAACTATCCCTTTAAGAACATTACTAATCTTAAAATACACTGGGAAATTGATTAGAGAAGACATAAAGATGAAATACAATATAGGTTGCGTAGTGCACCCTTGTATTTTCTCATTGACTTTTGAGTTTTCTTCAAGATATCAAGACAACATTTCTGATTGTTTAGCAGTAGTCAAGGGTCTAAAAAAAAGAGTTTTTCTCTCATTGCAGGAAATGAACTGCACCCTGTTCCTGTTAGCCGGCTATGCCAAGTATGGGCAACCTTACGCCTGGATTAGGTCCAATCACGAGCGCCTAGTAAACGTTGGAGGAACTGATACGCTAGTCAAGGACACACCAATGAAACTTAAGTCAGTCACAGACTGGGTTTCAACACCCCAAGGTTTAAGATTTTTATTAGCCATAATTTCACTATTTTATTATATACACCATTTCTTTATGTTCCTGGCTCAAGGTTTAGAAATTTTTAAAAGGTTAAAGATTATGTATGAATGCACTTATTGCCTTATTTTAGTGGCTCATGGTGGTTGTACATACAAATAACTAAGCTGTACGTTTACTCAACTACGATGTACCAAACACGGAAACGTTTTTTTTTCTTTGTGTTTTTTTCGTGTACCGAAGACAACGTTGTTAAAATGGTCACTGTTCACATGGATCCATTAACTAAAAATGCTGTATTAATATTGAATAAAAAATATTTTACGTTTTATTAATAAGATTTATGAATAATAATAAAAAGGAGATCAAGAATTCTTTTGGAATCGGATCATGACCTCCAGAATCGGAATTGGATCGAATTGTGTGGTGCCGAAAGATTACAACCACTACTATAGCATGATTTATTGTTTGTCTTTGTTGAATAATACAGAAACAAAAAAACAAAATTGCAATTAGATTATTTTAATTAGATAATTCAGCCATTATTCAAATACTTGCACTTTGAAACGCATAAAACGTTTTTAGTTGAAAACGGTGTTGTGTAAACGGCCCCTGGTTATAACGAAGTTTTAATTTTCGACAAAAAAATGTTTTGGCCTGTTTTGAGTTTCGGCCGTTCATTTACTTTACAACAGTGTTTTTTAAAAATAAGTTTCGAAAAGTGCAAGTTTTTGAAAACGATACCATTATCATCTCCATGTAAACCACAAAAATGCGAATATGTGAAAACAGTTACACTCGCGTGAGTATTAAGTTTTCAGTCTATAGGCGTGTAGTGTTTCTTTACAAAGTGAGATCGCCAACTACTGGCCTGGCATGAATATTACAGCAGTTTTAGTTCCTTGTGAACGTCAAGTCACCTTTATTCACTAACACTTTATACAATATAGATGGTTTCAAAGCAGCATTACAGCGATAACAGAAAAATTATTCAATTATGAAAACAATTCATTTAAGCTGTACAGCAGCTCTAAAGGCCTGTTCACACCGGCGAAATTCGCCAACGTTGCAGAGATGTATAGTAACGAAGTAGAACTACTTAAGTACTGTACTTAAGTACTAAAATGCTGTATCTGTACTCTACTAGAGTATTGTTTTTTTCTCATACTTCTTTTACTTCGTTAGCTATTTTTGGTGAATTTAATACTTTTACTTCGATATTTTTTTAATGTTCTGCTAGTTACTCATTACAATTATAAAAATTTTACGAATCATTCGTTGCAAGTTGGCTTTCATGCTGCCTAAATCACACGCCAGTTGTATAGGGTAATGGTATTCATTGACACACACATTGACAACTAATGCAGGGGTTGTCCTGCAATGACATTTTTTTGGCGGCTGCCAAAGCAAATTTGTATCCCACCAAAGCGCCTTATTTCATTGCTAGTTCAAACTTTTGACTGCTTTCTTTAATAATTACATGACACAATACTTGTACTTTTACTTTTAGTAGTAGTGAATTTTAAAATAAACTACTTGCAATACTTAAGTACAAAAAATGTTGAATACTTTAGTACTTCTACTTAAGTGTGGTGCTTAAAGGGCACTTCAACTTCTACTCAAGTCACTTTTTTGATAGAGCATTTGTACTTTACTCAAGTCCGGGTTTCTAGTACTTTATACATCTTTGCGTTTAACGCCTTGTGACTAAACAAAGAGCGCCAATGTGAGTGTGCACACCGGTGCTTAAAACGCCACACATAAAAGCGTCATTTTTTTAAAAAACACCTCGGGTTAGTTTTTTTAGTTTGATGCGCCGCGTCAAAAACTATCCGACCAATGAGATTGCTGCTCTTGCTCAGGTGTTTGGAGCTTCTGAAGTTACAGTAAAACCCAATTTGGGGGCGCTCAAAGACAAAACGGTCTTGCCGAGCACACATAGATAACGGAGAAGAAGATCTACGCCAAGTAGCGTCGCCGTCTACACTGCCAGGAAGAAATAAGACGAGGAAGATGCAAGGCAAGAAGAATGTCACATGTGACAGGGACTACAAAAATCTTGATAAAAGAGAATGTCATGGAGTGGGATTGCAGAGCAAATTGGCACCATCAAATTTCAGGGAACGAATTTGCACGTTCACTCGGCCCATCGTCAGCGAAAATCGCTTGGGTGTGAACACTAAAAACGCTGGCGAATAACATATTCGTCCCGGTGTTTACGGCCCTTAAAAGTTGTTCAGCTGAAGTCAATTCAGTGTTATATCAGTTCCGTTTTAAAGATCATCAATTATTAAATGGTTAATTTCATCTAAAAAAGCAGTTCTACGGAAAACAGTGCTGTCATTGTCCAGCTCAGTTCAGTTCGCATCAGTACAGTCAGATCAATACTATTGTTGAATATTAAGTGTCCCTGACTAAGCAAGCCAGAGGCGACAGTGGCAGGAAACCCAAACTCTACAGTGACACAATGGAGGAAAAAACCTTGGCAGAAACCAGGCTCAGTTCTCTGGCCAACGAACGAACAGTGTGTGCATAACAAGTCCGTCATCAGATTGTGGACAACGTTGTCTTCTGTACGCGAAAAACGTAAAACACAATTTTTAGTACTTAGAAGAGCCTTAAACACACCAAACATGTCTCTGCCCTGCAGGAACTCATGTATGGGACGTAGTGAGTGAGTTGGTGGGACTGTGCACCATGCCGCCTCCCGACAACCCCTTCTCTCTGGACATGCGCTACCTCCAAAGCCTGTCCCTCCCAGAGCGCTTCCTGGCCACCGGGGCCCTCCTGAATTTCCTGGAGATGATTGTGGTTCAGGGAAGCCGAGAGGAACCGTTCTATGATCTGGGTGAGCACGGAGCTTGAATTTCTTTGAAAGATTGGAGTCCGGGAAATCAGGATCAGAATTTCTTTTGTCCTTGTGTTCACAAGATAAGGGGCCTAAGAAAAACAATAAAAAAATCTCAAAACACAGGGAAGTCTTGATTCATAGGCTACTATTGTAAGGCCTGCCCAATGATGTATAGTGCTGTATGATGATTGTTCACATTAAACCATTGGGTAATTTCAGGTGATCTTAGCCTGAGATTGCAAATTAATACAATACTGAGTGTGAATGTGTCTTGGATGGGAGAGAAAGTTAAAATGTTAATTCCTTTGTTTTCTCAGAGAGTTGCTGTCTCTCTTCCAGTTCTTCCAGTTTCTCCAGTCGTACAATACATCCTGTGAATGTTGTATATAATAACTAATGTTTGTATAATCACTGCTAGAGCCACAGCTTTAAAACAGGCCTTAGACTAGTTTCTATTTTTACCATCATCCTCTGTTTCTTAGTTGTGTCAGAGTTGGTGCCATTGAGACGACTTCATTTCCAAAGCCTCTCTGAGTTCCGGAAGTTTCAAGGCAGTGACCGGTTTCACAGGACTTCAAGTCACTTACCCGACAAATGAGAACTGATGGTTCAAAATACAACAACATGGAAGGGTTTTTAACTCCAGAGGATTTTAAAAATTGGCCTAAAACTCCAATCATCACAATCTGGAACGGTTACAAGTTAACCTAATACAGTATGTTTTGTTCTTTATTTATTTTGATACTAAGAAATATTAATTTGTGTGTAAACTAAGAGGTTTAATAATGACAGCTTTAGCCCCATGGCTTTAAGCTCCTTAATGTCAGCCATGGCATTTTTTTGTAGCACATATATGTCTTTGAAAAGTTATGACATATGAAGTATTTTAATCCCTCGCATTAAAAGATTTGCGCCCCATGACCTAAGGAAAAAGTCAAGGAAAACACTGGCGTTTACACGACACAGTTTTCTTCTAAAAACTGAAAACTTTTGGGGGCCGGAAAATGCAAACTTTAAAAAACAGGCGTGCAAGTTTTTGAAAACAATACTGTTATAGTCACTGAATATGTGTGTTGTGTTTCTTCTTTATAATGTGACCTTGCCAATTACTGACCTTACATGTGTGAATGGGGATCGTTTTGACAACGTTGTCTGTACGCAAAAAAAAAAAAAAAAAAAAAAACATGTAGCCCTCAACCGTGTTCACGTTATAGCCCTTAATCCTGTAATTGTGGACAAATGTGGGCACAGAGGACTCAGGTGTGATCCTAATTTTTATTTATTATAAATGTTTTATCACTGTCTTCGATAAAGTTTTGTCTATCCATTTATGGTGTTTGTTTTTATTTTGGGGGTATTTTTGAATTTATTTACTTCAAAAAGTACAAATTTTTTTATGTAAATTATGATTATTTTTATGTTTTATTTTTTAACTACATTAAAATGTCATTCCAATAAGTTCTTAGAGCTAAAACCTAAAGATGAAGCGACTTTGCTGTCACCTGGTGTCTTATTTAATTTTTCCCATTCATTTCTATGGGTGCCCATTTTTGACCCAAATACAAGATTAAAGAGTTTTTTTTTTTTTCACACACTTAACATTGTAGAATTAAGTCAAAAAAAATTAATGTGTGTTCAGGAGGCAAACTTAGGAAAAGTAGCCAAGTCTTGTACCGCTCAGATCAAGGGAAGTAATTTCAAAAAATAAATCAAAACTATTTTGCCCACATTTGTCCAGAATACGGTTTTAGTACAGTGTTTGTGTAAACGTACCCTTAGAAGTTCTTGATGTCTTCACTGTTCTCTATCCCTTCTATAAGTAAGCAGATGCACTTGGAAAAAAACATGATCAACAACATTAAACAGCATAGTAATCAAAAGTAAATGTTACCGAATAAAATGTTGACCCAGGACTGTTGGACTATGAAGCTTTGGAGATGTTGACGGACTCGATCTACTTCATCTGTGTTTTGATCATCGTTCTGAATCCGACCTGGACGTAGTTCCACATTCAAAGCAGAGGCTCAATTCTTTCTTTTGATATTTTGCATGTTCAGATATTAATACAACAAAATATTCTGGGAGCAATGACATTGTGAATATTATCAAAAATGCGCGGTACCCGGAAACTTTTTTTTTTTTTTTTTTTTTAAATCTTGGCGGGAAGTGTTAAAAATAAAGGCTTTCGCAGCGACGTCAGAAGAATCTTTCAGCGAACAGATCTAAAAAAAAAAAAAAAAGAATTCTTAATTCTACACACTTTTTTCCCACTATTAAGAGCCTTCTGTGCAATGAAAAGGTTTCATGGATGTTAAAGATTCTTCATGTAACCGTCAATGCCAATAAACAACCTTTATTTTTAGAGTCTTTTGTCTGTTTATTGAGTGAATAGAATACAAGACACAAATGTTTCATGTATAAAAAGTTTAATATTCCATAAAATACATTTCATATTTAAATAGGTACACGCAAATAGTTTTAAAATAAGGTACAAGAACATTCATAGAACATTAAACACCTCATAAAGCAGACAGAACAGATCCAACAACAGACCTGAAGTCTTTGTAGCGCCAGATATGGTTTAATACAACTTTAAATAAAATCCATAAGGATAAAATCCTTTGACGTAAATGCCCTAACGCATCAGGCACAATGTTTAATACCATGAGGCACTGACTGTATACTACTGTGATGTATGATGCATATGTAACAGTGTGAAGGAAAATGCTAGACAATCTTTGCACTAGGAAAACTTGATTGTTCCAGTCATGCGAAGCAGAGTGTCCTTGTTTTAAATGACTTATGCAACCAGGCCACTTAAAAATGCTTCCTTGCGCTTTATAACCACATGCAACTGCAGTGCGACGAATCGATGCTGCTTTTTCAAGGACATGACGCTCTATGCAAACATACCTTTGAATCAGTCAGCATTCTGATGTCATAAGTGGTTGCCTGGAGACAGTTGGCTTTTTTCTTTTTTAACAAAAATGGGCTGATGTTGTAAAAACTTGCAGTTACAGAAAAAATAAAATAGGTAAAAGGGGGGATTATGGCCTCAAAAACTGCTGGAATGCAGGTGCATAGAGAATACTTCTCATTTCCAGAGTAATACCATTACTTCTACACTTCATTATCTGTTGGGAATTAGAAACCACGCTTCAAGTTCAAAGCTTGAATGACTCTCAAGCAATGAATAAAAATGGCAAACTGAGGTAGAACCCGGCAAAGCATGATATGGCTATAAGACAACAAAAATCTCAGTACCTCCTCCTTTCCAATGCCAAACTACAACCAGTCCTGATGCAAAGAAAAAATGCAGAAAATAACTGACCATGAATGATATTGAATTCATATGTGTAGAGATTTGGCCATATGAATAAGGGCATTTGCAAGCATACAGTGACGTAGGATAAAAAGCTGGTTGTCCGTCTTTGCCATAAGCATTACTTCCAATGCGCATTTGGGATAGAAACACTTAAAATGCTGTAACGCTGATGTTCTGATCGTGCTACTGTTTACCATCATGCATCCACCCACTTTCCACACGGATCCTCTCGTCATACCTCTAATACAAACAAAAACGGTCTCTTTGCTCATCAGTCACATTAACAAACTACCCAGACATGTACACAGAGGAGGAGACTGACTAGAAACACTCAACTCTGTGATACACACACACGGCTTTAAAACTGGATACCAGTTCAGTGCAGATGAACAGCTTTGGTGTTGTCTCTTAGTCTTTAAGCAAACAGAGATAAAATGACTGAATCCATCAACTTCCTAAACCACAAATAATTATCTCTGCTGGAAACCTATAGTTTATCACTTTGGTAAATTGATAACCTCAAATGTGTTAGCTGTTCTCGGTACAAGCTTGAGTTGCAATGCAAACTCTATCAAAGCTCAAAAGTTCCACCAGTTGTAGGTGTGGTTGTCCTTTTCCTCACATTCAATTGTGGAAATTCCCAAGCATCACAAAATTAAACTCAATGCCAGTTGTCGCTGGCAGAACCTCTTCTGCTGATGGCACGGAGAGGACTGTGGGACACCGACCCCCTCTTCTTCCAACGGACTGCAACACAAAACAAAACACAGTTACAACTTTGAAACGGAAACCAAAAAGAACATTGAGGAAATTAGGATTAGATAAGTTCTCAACTCTGGCTCTCGAGATCCACTGTCCTGCTCCAAACACACCTGAACAAGCGGATCAAGCTCTTCTGGATTTCTAGAAAGCTACAAGCTACAGGCAGGCGAGTTATGGCACTTTTGCACTGCATGGTACGGTACGGTTCGGTTCGGTATGGCACGCTTTGGCGTTTTTCCCACTGCATGGTACGGTATGGCTCGCTTTAACCTGGTACCTGGTCTGTTGAGGTTCCAAGCGTACCGTACCGGTACTAAAATGTGACGTGAAACACTGCAGATCACTGATTGGTCAGACAGAATCGTCACTACCAGCGTCATTGTATTTGCGACCAATAGACAGACACGAGAAACAAAAACGCTAGATTTAAATAGCCAGTAACAGCCACTCCTGTTATCCAACAGTCTATAATCCCACCCACTTTAAAGCGGTACTAACTGCAGTGGAAAAGCAACCGAGCTAAAGCAAACTGAGCCGTGCCGTGTCACGCAGTGGAAAACCGCCATTAGATCAGGGTTAGCAAAAACTCTGGAAAATTGATTTCAAAGGCCAGAGTTGAGAAGAGAACCCGTGTTCCAGTGCTAGCATTCCTCATTGCACTCATTAACATCAATGCATTTGGCAGATGCTTCCAACCCAAGCAACTTGCATTGCATTCAAGGTACACATTTGATCAGTTCACGCATTCCCTGGGAATTGAACCCATGACATTGGCATTGCTAGCACCATGCTGTTTGAGCTACATACTCGGTTCCTGGAGAGCCACGGTCCTGCAGAGTTTAGCTCCAACCTTAATTAAACATAGCCTGACTACGTCAAACTTCGTACTTCCGCTCAATTTCAGTTCGCTTCTGTACTCAGTTTGTACCCATCTCTCAGTTTTCGTCCGGCCTGAAAACAGCCGGCCAATCAACGAACAGAGGGCAGGCTGAGAGTTTAAAGGAGTAGTTCGCTTAAAAAAAACCTTTTGCTGATAATTTACTCACCCCCATGTCATCCAAGATGTCCACGTCTTTCTTTCTTCAGTCGAAAAGAAATTAAGGTTTTTGATGAAACCATTCCAGGATTTTCTCCATATAATGGACTTCATTGGGAACCAAAGAGTTTCAGTGCAGCTTCAAAGGGCTTTAAACGACACCAGACGATGAATAAGGGGCTTATCTAGCACCCTTCGAGTCATGACACAAAAAAAGATTAGTTAATTTTGATAAATGAGTTCGAACAGGAGAGTCACGAACGCTCATCACAGAGCAAGGCGAGAATGTATGCTTATAAAACTTAGACTTTATTTATTTTTAAATAACCAATCGATTCGCTAGATAAGACCCTTATTCATCGTCTGGTGTCATTTAAAAGTGAACTAATCCTTTAAGATCGTATTTTAGGTTGGGGAAATCGAAAACGACCGCAGATATGGAGATACTCTGTTGTGGAGAATATTCCCGGCATTTGCAAACTGAAGCCCGAACAAGAGTGTTTGTTAAACATTTTGAATGTAGGTGATGTTTAAGTTGGAGAGAGAAGGGACTGCCTTATGTGATTGGCTTACGGGTAACCAATGATTTTAAACTTCAGACAAGCGCCCCCAACGCAAGAAAGAAAACGCTTTTCAGTTATGCCATTCCAGACTCTGCCTACGAAGCAAAGCGAAGTAGCAGAGTTTGGTATTACCAGGCTAAATTAAACACTCTTGAACCATCAATTCGAGATCTTTAGGATTGTAAGAAACTTCCAGGAAGGAGTTTTGGAGCTACAACTCGGCCATAGATGTATAGACTAGACGTTACCTCGGCTATGGAAGTTCATTGGAACAAATGCGTCAATAGAGCCGCCATCTTGAAACAGGCATCAGCGTCAATGTAGACAGGTCTAACGGAAATAAAAATCACCATAAATGCGATTTTTCTTGTTTTTTTGGTTCGTTCTAACGGTCAGACATGTATTTATCATTGATTCCAGAATTTTTTTTTTTTTAATTTAAAAAAAATAAAAAATTCTTCCTAGTTCAGATTTCATCGGTGAACATCATACGCTGCACAAAAGCTCGCCACCATCAATTAATTCGAAGTAAAGGCAGAGATAGCAGTGTTACCTAGCTACTTCCTATGACAAGACCCCTGTTCCAAGATGGCGGCGGTTTTGACGCATGCTTAGAACCCCAAGGTGACGTCTAGTGTATACGTCTATGCAACTCTGCAGGACAGTGGCACATGTGAGCTACAGGAATCTTACACTCATCAGTCCTCACTTTGTCCCTCTTCAACTCACCTTTTCCCAAACTGGTTGGCAATGTCGACCCTCTGGGTGCAGTGGGCGTACCAGGCATCTCCGGCTCTTTAGTGATCCCGTCACACTGCGGTAAGGTGGCGCATCCGCCCTGCCAGTCATTGAGCGCTCGCTGAAACGACCTCGCTAGGCAGGCGGTCATGTCCTTCGCCCTTTCCGCCCGACTGCACCAGAACACTCTGCATTGCAGTTGCTGACCGGGCTGCCTGCAGATGTACAGAAACACATTGGGTCTGGCCGTGTGCGAGGCGCAGTACGCGATGTCCTGCAAGTAAGTCTTAGTGAGCTGCCTCCCGGTGCTCAGTTCTTTAACTTCAACGTATCGGGGCCGCACTACCAGGGCGTGGTCTTTAGAAAGCTTCCCGGGTGCCCCGTCTAGCAGTCGATCGATGGCTTCCTCCGCCTGTTGTAAGTCCAGGGAGAAGATCTTTTTGGTGCCGAGGTAGTGCACTTTGAAAAGGGGGTCGCCGTGAGAGAGGCTCTCCGTACGGTCCCGACGGAATCGCCGGCGTAGAGCCGCCGGTGAGTTCTTTAGAGTTTGCATCAGATGGAAAGAGGCCAGAGCCATCGTGGGAGATGATACAAGTGGAGCTTTTTTGGAGTCACAGGGATCTTTCTCCTGCTTATCCAGTAAGCCTCCCAGTGTGGCGCAGCAGAGTACAGCCTTGAGATCTGAAACCGAAGAGGGAGAGAAAGAAACTGTCATACTTATCAAATCAAACAATCCAGGTATGATTGAAACTGTATTTTGGGTTAAAAAAAAAAAGCCCTTCTCACTCAAGTGTGGCCTAAGTTTTACTTTTTATTAGTAGGTTTTTCCACTTATATGTTTTTAGCCACACAATATTTACATGTTAAAGTATAAAAATGACCCAGAACATTATGTACTTATGCTGCAATCAGACTGCAACGATGTGAGCTTTTCATGGAAAAATGGTCACAAATGAACCCACAGTCCCACACCAATGATCTCAGGATAGGATCGGTTTCAGTCAAGCATTAACACACACGTGTACATTGTGGCCTCCTGCATGCAGCACAGGAGCTTCAAATATTAAACAGGCCACATTCGAGTCTAGCAAGAGTGGAAGAACGTCTGTGAGTCATCCGAGACACTTTGCTGGAAAGAGGACGTTAATGAACCTGTGTGTGTGTGTGTGTGTGGGGGGGAGAGAGGGGGGGACATCAAGAATTACTTTCCACTTCAATTTAGCAGCTTCCCACCATGTTGAAGGGGCTTAATATGATTCTGTTCATGTTTAGATGAGATGGGATGGACAACCTGACCAAAACTGATAAGACACTAATTATTTTACCTTATGGCTGATGACCAACATTGACCTTATGGCTGAACCTTATGGCTGATGACCAACATACGGCAAAGTGACGAACATTAAAATGTATAAATAATAAAAACTAAAAGGGAGTTTAGGCTAGGGCTGTCGCATCAAAATAAAAGTTTGTGTTTACATAATATATGTGGGTGCACTGTGTATAATTATTTTGTGCGAGTATAAAATACACACACATGCTTGTATATTTAACAAAAATTATATAATTATATATAATCTATATATACAGTATGTACATGAAAATATTTCTTAAATATATACAAGCATGTGTGTGTGTGTGTGTGTGTATATATCATATTATATATATCATATACATACAAAATAATTATACACATTGCACCCACATATATTATGTAAAAACAAACTTTTATTTTGGATGCGATTAATCGTTTGACAGCCCTAGTTTAGGCATCAGAACGTTCAATAAATATTACATTTAAATGTCATTAAATTTGTGTTTTTAAAGATAAATTTTAGAGTTAATTCACAGCATGTGAAATCTAAATGTAAAATTAGAGGAAAAGAGCATACACATAATTAAACATCTAATTACGGTCCGAAACACACTATTGAATAAATTTCTAATACTGGCTGATAATCAATTTGGTACCAATATATATCATGCATCCCAAGTTTCTGACCAAGAAACAGATGACCAAGCACAAGCATATCCCACAAGTATATACTTAGTATGCAGAAACATGCACACCACCCATTTCAAACATGTACTTTCACAAAGCCCTTGAGGGCCTCATTAGGTCAAGTCCAAATGCATGGACGGGTGTTGAAGTTCCACCTTGCACAAATTATGTAACACTTGAAGCCGTTTTTTTTTTCCATTGTATTGTGCTCCAGAAAACAAGCCTCACTTTTATTCCCACATTGTGTTGGCCATGTGGCCGATACCATTGTGCTGCACTTTTTTTCCCCCTGCTGTCTTTTTCCTGGCCCATTATTTGAGCATCCCCAGAGGCTTCTGATGTTGGTCACCATTCAGACATCCAACTGTTTTTAGCTCTGATGCCTATTGAAGAGAAACTTTCTACAGGAAACAGCTTTAGACGACATCCCGCCACCTTCAAAATATTTCTTTTCCCAAAGACAATGGTGTGTAGCGTGTCATGTGGAATGCCAACACAAAATAACCTAGACTGATTTGATCTAAAGGCAACTAGACACACGATACATACAGTACACACACCTGTAAGGAAATGACCTGTCAGTCAGCCAACCATAAACATCTGAGTCTGACCCAGAATGAGATGTGTGAAAGATGTCTGAAATGGCTTTTTTTGTTCACTACATTTGAATAATTATATAACATTTGTCTGTGATGCTGCCTAATTTGTTGTCAGGACAGATGTCCTCGTCTGATAAGGACGTTCATAGTCAAATACAACTGGACGTATATGTAAAGTCATTATGATTGTTATCCTCTAGTTGCAGCTAATAATAGAGATACACTTTTTTAAACATGTTGTTGTCAAGCTGGAGGAAAAAACAGCTTTAAAAGTCTGTATTGAACTTTAGTCAGAGATTCACTGTGGTCATCCACAAGCCTTGAAGAGTTGATTATTACAAATCGGTGCATTACTTCATAGTGGATGAATCACTTTTTCTTTTCTTTTTTTTAAATAACGGATGCTATTTCTGCCAATACTGATATGATATTGCTGACCAACTATGGCAAAAAATACACTTAGGCTATTCCAGCCTGGTTAACTTAGTTCTGATCAGGTAAAAAAAAAACATTTTTATAGTGGTTTTTATAATTTTTATAATTAAAAAAAAACATTTTATAATTGTTGAATTGAGTCTGACAGATATCTATTAGGTTACTGCATAAAGACAAATAAAAAATGGTCAACTAAAGAAAAAGAAACAAAAAATAGATGAGACATCGGTTTAGGCTGAAAGACCATCTTAAACTAATGTTGTCTTTATAATGATGACAGAACAAACAAAGTTCAAACTTCATTTCCAAATACAAATCCGTAAAAGACTCACCTTTCATACACGCTTCGCTTTTGGTCCGGTACAGATGAATCATGCGTCCTCCACAAACAGCTGAACGGCATGTAGAAGTCCAAACCTCGTAGTTCTTGTCACTTCGTAAACCGTTTTTCACTAAAATTGAAAATGTAGCGGTAGGGACGCTTCAGGATAGACTGAAACCAACGCGCTCTTTTACAATGTCGGGATTGGATGTGAAACGAGGCAAACGCATGTTCTCCTGGCGTGGGCTCTGCTTACCTCACTCTGCGCGCTCTGACAAACCAAGTGAATCAGCCGCGCGTCGCTGCGCTGTATTTGAACGGCGTGGGAACGCCTCCGCGCCGCGGAGAGATGGCAACCACGAGGAGACGGGAGTTAACGAGTGCTGGAAGAAGTGTATGAGGAGGAGGAGGAGTGTGGACAAAGTTGAGCCCTGAAGAAAGCGTCAGCGATGTACCCAAAAATAAGATTCACCAGGGACAACAACCTTTTAAATTTTTGTTTGGTGGAGTGAGAAAATAAATATGTAAATGCTCACGAACAGATAACATCGAAATATGACGAACTTGCTCTAAATACACAGGCTGATAAGGGAACACTACACTTGTATGTGTTTATGTGATTATATTTAGTACTAGTGCACTTTTTGACTGGTGTGTGTTAACCTGCACAGTGTAGGTAGAGGTGTAACGTTATATAACATATTAAATTAATGAAAAAAAAAACATTCTGTGTGTTGGTATTATCTTTTACATTTAAAGGAGTAGTTCACTTTTTTAAAAAACTTTTCCATGTCATCCAAGATGTCCATGTCATTCTTTCTTCAGTAGAAAAGAAATTAAGGTTTTTAATGAAAACATTCCAGGATTTTTCTCCATATAATGGACTTCAATGGGAACCAAACGGTTCAAGGTCCAAATGAGAGTTTCAGTGCAAACATCAAACGGTTCAAAGGGCTTTACACCATTCAAGACAATGAATAAGGGTCTTATCAAGCGAAATGATCGCTCATTAAAAAAAATAATAATAAGAAAGATTAAGTTTTATAAGCTCAAATGCTCGCCTTGCTCTGTTCTGATGCGCGTTCGTGACTCTTGTTCGTGCTCGTTCATCAAAATGAATGAATCTTTTTCCGAGTCAATTCATTAATTTCGTTTGTTGAATCATCCAAATGACACGAAAAAAAGATTCGTTCATTTTGATAAACGAGTTTGAACAGGAGAGTCACGAAAGCGCATCACAGAACAGAGCAAGACGACCATTTGTGCTTATAAAACTTAAACTTTGTTATTTTTTTAAAATGAGCGATCGTTTCGCTTGATAAGACCCTTATTCATCGTCTGGAATCGTTTAAAGCCCTTTGAACAGTCTGCACTGAAACTCTCTTTTGGACCTTGAACTGTTTGGTTCCCATTGAAGTCCATTATATGGAGAAATCCTGAAATGTTTTCATCAAAAACCTTAATTTCTTTTCGACTGAAGAACGAAATACATGGACATCTTGGATGACATGGGGGTGAGTAAATCATCACCAAAAGTTTTTTTCAAAATTGAACTACTCCTTTAAGACATGTAGCCATAATTGCATCACAAATAGCATTTTTGTCGTTTACACCGAGACGATAATGGTATCATATTCAAAAACTTGCACTCTGACTTTCCAAAGTTGTTTATAAATGAACGGCCAAAACATAAGCGGCGTCTAAACGGCGCCTAGTTTCACTTTTAAGACCCACAAAGACTGCACAAAATGTGACAGTATAGACATTTAAATCAAATGAGACTCAAAATAATGTAGCAAATTAAGACCAATGCATAACAAAAAAACCTTCGAAGGTGTTAATTAGTGGGGTGGGGTGAGGAATTGAAAGGTTAATGATCATGGGCCATCAATACCAAGGTTGCTGTTGCTTCTCAAATGGAGACGATGCATCATCCGCAGAATTGAATATGCCATGATTGTGCCAGAGCAAGACACTTAATCTCAGAGCGGGGTGAACTTTTTCTGGAATTATCTGACTAGTATACAGTACGTCCTTTAACAGCATCTTTCCTATTGCAACCAAAGCCTTCACACTGTGTAGCCCCGCTCAAACTGCTACACACCATTTAGCAAATTGGCTGTAATTTGTTTGTACTCATCTCTACTGCACTGCTAGTAATGATTTGCTCTGTCAGTGATGTGTTTATGTAATTTTATTGTTTGGTTGCAATTTATGTTTTATTTCTCTGGAGCTCTCATCTGTTTATCTCTTTCTATTCTAATGCACATTATTGAATTTCCACCAGCCTGGTTTAGTGAAATTGGGAATCTTGTCTCCTAAATAGGCTAGTGAATCTCTGATTTTTCCACAAATAAAGAAGATCAAATGTCTTATATTGTCTAAGATTTAAACATATTTATGTGTTTTAATAGTTTTCTGGGTTTTTCAGTAGAGTAGGTGAATGTGAATTGAGTTAATTCATGCCATGTGTTTAGTCTGAACACCGAAAGAAACACTGAGCCCCTGTGTAATCAGCAAATGGGAGGCTTGGGAGACACACCCACCAAAGTACCTTTGGTAGCACAGCAGTGCTATTATACAACTGCCAATGACGCCACAACCCCCCCAACAACACACACACACACACACCGAATGCATAATGAGTCCAACACATTCAGTACAAACACACTGTCTTTAATGTAAACCCAACATGAAAAACAGTGTGCTAGGTTCATTGCACAGTGCCAAAGCTGGAATGACTGAAGAATTGTCACGGGTAAACCTTTTGACGTAAACCACTTCATGTTTTTGCCAGTAGAATGGCAAATTGGCATGAACAAGTAGGGCATCATACGTACATCATATTTAAATGCAATATAAACACTGCTGTATGAAAAGAAATACAACCATTTCTGGATAAAAATCTTATCCGTGATCTTTTTGGTTATAACTCTGATCTTAATCTAATGTCCATCAAGTTGTGTTGTTATTTTTAGGGGTGGGGTTGCTATTTGTGGAGCCTGAGAACTTCAGGAAAGCAAAACATGAAAAGTGTTTGCTGTTTTCTTTCTTCAACTCAACATCTGAGCAATCAGAGCAACCACCCACTTCTTTCTAAAAACCTCCATATCTTATCTCACAGGCCTCAACTAAAGCTTTTCCAACAAAAACAAGAAAATCTCAAACAGCAGACAGTGCCTGCTCTATAGGGGACATTTTTAATTGTCTATGATGTGATTTGGGCCTTTTCTCTAAGCAGGTAGCTATTTAGCAGATGTTTTAGGTGTGTTTCCCAAAATGGGTCTGAACATCGGTGTTTCAATAAACATTCGCAAACAGCATCGCAAAGTTGTGTGGTTGGAACGACAACTCTTGAATTGTGGTTAGTAGTTTCTTGGTTGCATGACATGTGGACTTATAAATCCTTATTAGAGCAAAATAAGCTTGCCGACATTCAGTACAGTATTATATACAGTATTTCGACTATATGTAAAAATGTAATGTACGTCTCTTTAGTTTGTAAAGCGATTTAAAGCGCTGTTTTTGAATTGTATACGCATGTGTGTACATACTCTAGTAGCCCAGAACAATTGAATCTGGAAATAAAGTAGTTCACTTTTAAAAAAACTTTTGCTGATAATTTACTCACCCCCATGTCATCCAAGATGTCCATGTCTTTCTTTCTTCAGTCGAAAAGAAATTAAGGTTTTTGATGAAAACATTCCAGAATTTTTCTCCATATAATGGACTTCAATGGGAACCAAAGAAATGTTCGCCTTGCTCTGTTCTGTGATGCACGTTCGTGACTCTCCTATTCGACCTTGTTTACCAAATGAACAAATCTTTTTTCGTGTTATTTGGTTCATTCAACGAACAAAATGAACGAGTTGACTTGGGAAAAGATTTGTTCATTTTGATGAACGAGTTCGAATAGGAGAGTCACGAACGTGCATCATACAACAGAGCAAGGCGACCATGTGAGCATATAAAACTTAAACTTTTTTAATCGTTTAAAGCCCTTTGAACAGTTTGCAGTTTTCACTGAAATGGTCTTTTGGACCTTGAACCGTTTGGTTCCCATTGAAGTCCATTATATGGAGAAAAATCCTTGAATGGTTACATCAAAAACCTTAATTTCTTTTCGACTAAAGAAAGAATGACATGGATATCTTGGATGACATGAGGGTGAATAAATTATCAGCAAAAGTTTTTTTAAAAGTGAACTACTCCTTTAATACCTGAGAAAATGAAATTTAGTCCTAAAAAGCCATGTCTATAATTTATAGCAAAAAAATCTGGCATTAATTCGATCTCAAACATATTCATTAAAATAAGTTATTACTCAGCCACCTGCATAAGTAATTACTCAGCTAACTGTGTAGCCACATTGGTTAATGACTCAGCCACATCATTAACCAATGTGGTTAGATGACAATTTTGCGACAGGACGGTTTCGGGAAACAGTTGTGACTAGTTGATTTTTATTCAACGATGCATCCAACTATGGTAGTTATAAGACTATATACGCTGATTTCACGCAGCCGTCATTTTGAAATGGCTCCAGTGGGAAGAAAACCGGAAGTGTCGCTTTAAATCATAGGAGTAATGTAGAAATTTGTTATTCTAAAAATGTACATACATTTCTTTCATAGTTTAGACTATATACAGTGAAATTTATACATTTATAAATACATTTTTTAAATATATATATTCAGAACATAAAAAAGAAGCAGGAACGAACTATATATATATATATCCTATATTGGATATTAACATCTAATAGTCTAAATCGTGGCAGCAGCTTCAGGTTGGTAGTCCAAGACATTGTTGTCTATCTGTACTTCCGGGATTCTTCCCACCAGAGCCTCGCTTTCGATTTCGAAATGGCAGCTGCGTGAAATCAGCGTATAACTATAGAAACGACTTGGATGTCAAGTTTCTCAGAGGGGCCAGGAGGTTGAATCTGCCTCACCCCCACATAGCTCAATCCTGGGACTGGTCCACAGTCCCGAAGTCAACTCGTGGCCCCTGCTCACAGCAACCAACCTTCTGCCTCTTTTGCTAAAGACCAACTTTATGCTAGCTTTGGCTTCGGTCAAGCAAGTTCGCCACTTGCAGGAACTTTCAGTGGACGCATCTTGCCTCAAGTTTGGGCCTAATGACAGTAAAGTTAAAGTTGTCCTTGTACTGAGAAGAGGCTTTATAGGGTTTTCGGCTTTCCCTTCCACTGAGGATGAGCATGCGTCACACCCATGCCCAGTTCAGGCCCCCAGGGTGTACAGAGGAGCTATTTGTGGGCTTTAGAGGCTGCTCGAAGGGGCTTCCAGTCACGAAGCAGAGGCTTAATCGATGGATAGTGGCTGCCCTTGAGTTTG